TTCGGATCTCGAGGAATTGTCGTTAAGATGATCGACGTGGGCCCGAAGCTCAAAGCTCGAGCGTCGAGGAGCTCGATCGCGAGCAACCCTTAGCGAGAGACGCGCCGTTACCCAGCATGCACCATTTACCCGATAGCTACGAATACGTGTATTTTACACCCGGGGTATCGAACTCCCCCTCCGTCCTCGAACCACGGGAGACCCGCGTCTGCCATTTCACCTGGAACGACAACCATCCACGACGTAACGGCCCCGATGTTTCGCGGCAGAAAATTTCGCGGAAATTTCAACCCGTTTCGGAGGCGCGGACGAGACCCGCTATCGGTAAGTTTCAGGACGTGAAATTTACGCGACACGTTTCCCGCCCGTCCGACGACGGGGCAAAAATTTCCCCGGCGAATTTTTGCCCGACTTTGCACCGCGGCTCCCGCCGCGAATTCTACGTTTTTCCGTTCCGTGGGAACAGTCGGCCAGCGGAACGTTTTCCAGGCGTGAAATACTCGATCTTTCGCGAAACGAAGCCAAGTGCATCCTCGAAAAAGAAGGAATTAACAATCGTTTTGTCAGTCGTGATCAGAAAATTGCAAGTTAAATTACATTGGACTAAATCTTAACGTCGATGAGAGATTTTGTATGTAAAATGAGACGAAAATCAAGAATTACGAAATTGAGCGCTTTCGTACGTGATTTATTAATTACAGAATTATTAGTTCCTTCAAAAATCACGAGACAATAAACGATCGAAAAAACAACCCTTTGAGAATTGTGTGTCACGAAGCTTTAAGGAAATAGCTCGCGAGTTCTATTTGGAAGGAATATTTCGGGCGTGATAATCGAATTGTTGCCTGCATCGTCTTACGAAATTGAACGGAAGTAATGCCGCGCATGCACTCCGTGTGGGTTTTTTAACTACAGCAATTGGGCATACGAGAGACGGCCAATTAAGGGTTCCGAGCCGGGAGAGGTTTATTGTCGTTTTCGGTCCCGTTTTCAGCCACTCGTTCGCTCTCCATAAACAGACAATGGAGTGGTATCGGCAGGGGGAAAAGAAGAGATGGAAACGGAACAGCCCAGAAATTTGAGCGGTTTCGAAACGATTGCTCGATAATGCAAACGCAATTTCAATCTCTAACGCCTGACTCGAGAGCTAGTCTTCTTGAATCGTCGTTTTTATCCGATATGTGGAAACAACAGTGTCGAACTACGTTATTTTAAAAGTGTTGAGGTCTGTATTGCGAAACCAACACTAGAAAAATAATTTTAACAACTGTAAACCCTATTCGTTATGCTTGACTGCCCTGGCCAATTCTAATTTCAAACCTGGCCTCGTACTAAAAAGTAAATACTGAATGTCCGGACCAAGATATTTTGGAATGTCTATGGGGACAGACGAGTACTGGAAAACACAAATCAGAGTCCTTTGAGTGGTTTTTTGAATTTTTCACGCGCTCTGCGTAAACCTACTGCACGGAGTATGCGAGCATCCAACGTGGAAATGCATATTTTCTTAATTTGAGAAAATTGCCCTGCAATTTCGCAGTCTAATTCTGTCCGAAGTTTCATGTTCATTTAGATTCGCGTTACATTAACTACTGCGTCCAAGACCAGCAACAAATTTCGTAGTTTAATTTAAACTTTATGCAGCAGAAAACGGATGGACAAAGTTAATGCATACAGTAAAATTCCGAATACCTGGTATACTCAAAACTGGGACAATGCAAGAAAATCAAATGTGCTGTATAATTGGACTATACATACGTATGGAGCGATAAAAATATTTCTGGCCACGTATTATATTTTCGAAAAGAATTTTTTTCTCGAAAATGGTTAGGAATTCGAGGGTATGTCTATTCACCAAAAATGCTTGTAATTAACCCCCGCAACCAAAAATAATTTTTTCAGAACGATTTGAAAAAATTTATTTCCGCCGAAAAGTTTCAGTGAAACATATCAAGGTGTGGTCAGACATATTATATATTTTGGTAAGGAATTTTTTCCTCGAAAGTGCGTAGGATTTCGGGGGTATGTGTATTCACCAAAAATGATTGCAATGGACCCCTGCAACCAGAAATAATTTTTCCAGGCCGATTTGAAAAAATTTTTTTTCGCCGAAAAGTTTCAGGGAAACATATCACTGTCGGGCATTATTATATTATTGTTTTCTGGATCTAGAGGAGTCAGAAATTCGGCGAAAATAAAATCACCGGGTCCAAACATCAATGACTGCTCGTTGGTCCCGAAGGAAGCTTCCTCGTTTATCGAGCTTCATAACTTTTTCATTAAGTCGAGGAATTACTTGACCGGGAGTCACGTGTCATCGCGCCACGTAAAAAGGCAATAAATTTGTGCTGCTTGGCCGACGTGCCAACGGCAGACCAGAATTCGGAAGGGCTCACAAAGTCGGTCAGAGGATCAATCAAAATTTAGGGGGCATATTCGTGCTGTCGCGTCACGAGAATTCCAGCTTCGCCGCAAATCTTGATTAACCTCCTCCGTCTTCGTCTCGGGGAAGTTCCAGAGTCTCTGAACGCTGCAACGAGGTAGATGGCTGGCAACATCCATTTTCATCCCTCAATGACGCGTGTCTTGTTTAAACCGATGATCGTTCGTGCTTCTGTACGTAGCCAATCGTTAAATTGTTTTCGAAAAGAACGTGCTACTTTTAACGTCCATATGTGCCTTGCAATTTGTCAAACGAGACGTTTGATCAATTATGGTAACATTGCGGAATTAAATAACAATCGTGATGTCATCTAAAAATGCCTTCTCGACATTCCCCATTTTTTCGTAAATTAGCAGAGACAAAAGAATCGCTTACACCAAAATTATGAAACATTTGTGAAATGAAATATCTTTACTTGGCAACAATGTTAATAAATTATAAAATAGGCTCGATAAGGTAGCGAAATTGTACAACTTTATGAACGAGCCACGAACATAAAGGAAGGATTTTCAATTAAATGGAACCCTTTCATAATGGTAACGTATAACCTTTTCTGTTCCCAACAATGACGAAAATATTGAGATTATGCAAAAGCTTCAGCGTGGAAGTAATTTATAAAACACTGCCTCCGAATCCAAACATCACAAAATTGAACGGAATTAAATGAAAAGCGAAACATGGAATATTTCGTGCTTCGGTAATTCAAATAACGTGTAGTAGAAATTTCCTACTAAATTTTTCATTGTCCTCATGGTATATTCAGATACAAGAAGTCGGTCGAATAATATTAAATTAGTTGCGTTACGCTGGTACCTGGAATTCAACAAATAAACGCGAGATTTATATTCCCAATAAAAGTTTCCTGTTCCTATAACTCTCTAAATAACCTGTTTCTGAAATATTCGTATCCCCTACATAATTTTTGAATATTTTGTTGTACCTGTCTCTCTCAAGCAACCGAATCTATCACTCACATTCCCTCTATTTTTCAAATACTACTCAAGCGGAATCGTACTGCAGTTAGTGACAGTTTTTATTATACTTTTAGCTGCTGCAAGAAAGTAGGACACGCTATTTCGGGGAATTTCAACGTTTTTAGACGTTAAACTCTAACAGCTTCTCAAAAATCGTTCCAAACGAAATACTTTAATATTTGAAGACCCTTTGCGTTAAATAAGCCCTTTCGCGAAAGACAAAGGTAATTTCAATGACTTTAAAATGTGTTGTAGACTCGATTTTAGCTTTCGAGATATTAGCAAAGAAACTTTGTATAATTGTATGGCCGATTTGCACAGAATGGTGGTTTTATTAATAGAAATATTACGTACTGAACTGTGTGATTTGGTCTCGTCAGATTTTAATCTCGCCCTCTGTTAGGAGGCCAGCCAACCATATCGGAATCGGAATTTCAGAAATTTTGGACCCGGATTCTGGTGCACACATTCAAAATATAGGGCGTGCGTGGGATGACAACAGGGCTGATGCTGCACGTTTTGAGACCAGCAAGGAAAATTGAACCGAATCCGCAACAGAACGGCTATTTCACAGAATATTCTCACTAACGTTATTTGCATCGATCAAAGCCAAATTCATAAACCGAAGTAAAACGAATGTCGTTCGAGGAACTTTTCTAACAGTTTACGAAATACATTCAGTGCATTGTGGACGATAAATCGACTTTTAAATACTCCGTATAGAAATTCGTTAACCCGCCTGGTCCGAAATAGAATAAAAGGATTCGAGAAAACGTTCGCGGTCGCAATTTGCATTAAATTTCTCGCCACTCGAGACGCGATTGGACGAGAAATTTCCATCAGTCTCGTCGCGACCGTGTAAATAAATTGTCGACAACGGCGTCCGTTTTCACTTCCTGGCATAAACTATGTGAAATATGTCGGGCGGCCCGACAATAGCCGTCGGTGCGGTTCCAGCGGCACGAACTGTTGTCGACCAATCACACGTTTACCAAGGCATCCGCCAATCCATTGTCGTTACCCGGTTTACATAACGTTTCGATACTCGTTGCGCGCCGTCCTATTTACTCCCAGGAATTGTTTGGAATCAGCGACCAGATCTCGAGTAAAAATTCCTCCGAACACTTTGAGCCGGCGTGAAATTAATATCGATCCCCCTCCCCCCCCCCTCCCCTCCTCCCCGGAAAGGGCGCTGCGATTTTGTACGCCCCGTGGTCCCGGCGAAATTGTTCGAGAAATTGGCGTGCATTTCCCACGGTGCAACGAACGTTTTTGGCATAACTGCTCCAACGAGCGAACCGCGGAGGAAACCGAACGCGTCGAAAGAATTAAGGCCACTGGAATCGAACCAATTTTCAAACGAAATATCTGACTCTCGAGATGAGTAGTAAAAAATATATAATTCTCTGTTGTTCTGAGAAGATTTAAAAATAGAATTTTTTTTTTTTAAGTAATAACTACCTAAGAGGAACACACGCGAGAATAGTAAAATCTGGTATAATTGAGAGTTTCGTCAAAGAGATTACTTTGACAGTGTGTAATTATTTCTGTGCGCAAATTAAGTATTTCATTTATATGCTCAGGATTTCCGCGCTGTTTCAAGTAGCCGCTGCCGCGTTGCTGCTCGCTGCAACGATCTCAGCATTGATTGGACATTGTTACTCGGACCATAGAACCCTCGTCGCCTGTGGACTATTCCTTCTCAGCGGTAAGCATACAACGTGAATTTAATTTAATGGAGGCAACGTCGATCGCGCGTACCAGTCGCGAGAGATGCATTCTTTTGTTCCTTCGTATATAAGAAGCCTAAAAGTAAAGCTAAAAGCTTCCACTCCGACGCGACTTCTTTCCGTGTCACTCAGATCCTACGTCGCCTAATCCCTGCTTCACGGAATCCTACGTTATACGTCGTAACGCGGTGCCCTAAACCTTACTCTGTCCTATTATCGTCAATCCTACTCCAAAGTCGTCGGGAGCCCAACAACTTTCACGGAGCTTCTACTGCATTCGATACACTGAATTGTTATTTATGTCGTTATTTTTATGTCGAACATCCTTCGATACTAACTTTGTACATTATACTGTCACGAATATGCAGGGTTAGTCTCGTAACATGACGATCTCAAATAAGTTGCATGGTATCTAGGGGGCCATACAGTGCTCTAATCTGTTTTTTATTGAGATATTAGGGCCACCTTCAGTATTTTAAATGGAACGTCTAATATTTCTTTTCGAATTCGGATGAAACATCAAATTTTCCGTAAAAAAGTATTACACAAAGTGGGTCATGTTAGGAGACTCACCCTGTATAAATAGTGTCCATAAATATAATTTATCAGAAAACAATTTTAGAAGCCTCTACGGTGGGTTTGTATAGCACTGTGCATGTATAGATCACATTGCTACAAAATGTGATTGAATCCACGTTACAAAAAAATAATCAAAGATTGTGGTCGACACAAAAAGAAAACTTTGATTTTCGGACAATTACATACACAACTTAAAACTTCAAAAAATCAAAATTTCAATTTGAGAATTAATTGTTTCAGTTCCACGGTGAAAAGACCCTAGTGCGTGAATGGTCGAAGAGAAACGCTCTAGAAGCGCATTGAAAAGCATCTGAAGAATCGATCGATCCTTGAAACAAATTCCCCCTCAAAAAAAAAAAAAAAAATAAACGATCGTCCCCTCGAGAGCCAAAACACCGTGCAATCTGTTCGCCTCGAAAAGTACGTTTCACGGTTAAAGCGATCCTCGCGTCCCAAAGAGAAATGTCGGTCCGCGAGCACCGAGTGCTATAAAATATCATAAAAATTGCACCGCGTTACAGCGGTCGCCTCTAATCAGCGATGATCCGGCAAAAAATCGTCGACGGGCAAAGAAGCCGCGCGGCAAACGCGGTGATTAACACGACGGACGCTTTCAGCGCGTCAAAAGCGACAGGGAAGAAACGATAAAGAGGGGCAGGAAAATGGAGGGCGATTTTTGAAAGCGTACGGAACGTTTGCTCGCCGGTCACGTACAGGGTCCGGAGCTGTTTCTCTTTCCCTCTTCCCGCGCGATTCCCAGGCTGGCGGTGTATCAACCGCACTTTTGCCCGCTGAAAAGCTAACAATGTGATCCTCGAGTCTTCGACCGAACACTCCGGCCAGGTGGTTCGCGCGTGAACAGTTCATACATCAACTCGTGGTATACGAATGCCGGCTTCTTTACTCCCCAGGGGTGAATTTCGTATTCTTAGGAGCCACCCCTTAATATTCGGGGATGCTCCCGGAGGCAACGTATTGTTTTATTAAGCAGAACGTTTATGTTTTCGGGGGGAATGTTATTTTTCGACGTTCGTAAGTGAATTGTTTGGTTTCGGGGAAATCTCGTTCGTTCCTGGTTTACGTTACGTTTCCTCGACTATCGTTTCTATGCTGTAACAGTGTCGGCCGGGGGGTTTCCCTCTGCAAATCCACGTTCGGTGAACGCTGCAACTTCCAACTTAACGTTCCTGTTGCGTTGCTAACTCGCCGTCGGATGGACACGGTTTAATTTCAACTAATTTTTTAAACGAGTACCTATTTAATTTTGTTTGCACGAGGGAAAAGAATAGATTTGTTTCGTGTTGATTTTAATATATGAGACTCGATGACGAGTGGAACTTGACATTGGACACTTGTAACGAGTCAAGCAAGAGTTTAAGAATGAAATTAGAGATTTTTCTATACTTTAAGTTTGAAATTAAGATCTGCGTTGTCGAAGTATTTCTTCTTTTGTAATCAAATGAATTGATTTAATTTGTATGCTGCGTAGAAAATTATTAACCTTCCTCCGTTGGTCATACAAGATTAATTTGGCATGTGACGCGATGTAGAATACTAAATTCTACACGGGACGCTTCCAGTATTGCTAATTAGAAACACGAGCGCTGTAGTTGAGTGTGTTACATCCAGTGTTGCCTGTAAACGATAGTTAATTAAAAGGGAATGTAAAAACTGTACGAATTTTCGTTTGTCACGGTCGACTTCCAAGCAATATTACCAAAATAATAGTGTTTCGTGGAACACTGTTATCCAATAGAATTTAATAAGCTTCTTTGTGAACGGGCTTTACCATACCTACGAGATAATCCTAGAGTTACATGCGTAGAATGTGAATTATTAGTTCATTGCGGAAATGACATTAAATCATTCACGTAACAATGGATTAAATGACCAATCGATTCCAGTATATTCCCACAAGCAAAAATAAGAGAAAGGGGTCTGTGAACATAACCGAACAAACGCTTCATTAATAAGTTGTATCAAAAATAAGAAATCATGACAAACTTCCTATTAGTAATTTTGTTTGCATCTTCAGTGGCACTCGAGATAATTTACATGCTCGATTTAAGCGAGACTCTGAATTTTCCAGCGCTCCGTGTAAATACCGATCGGAGAATTGATTCTTCATGATTTGATCGCATTAAAGTGGAGATTCGAAGCTATCGGTAAATAAATGCTACGAGCAATTTCTAATTAATCGCTATAAGAGTATCGAGTAGCGAGATACAGCCGGGTGATTTTCCAATTCGGCTGATATTTAGGGGGGCGAGAAGGCGCGGAACGCGACAGGAAAGAGCAAATGAAAACCGATGGAAAGGATTTCCCCGGGAAACACTGACGATTCTGGCTGGGCGACAGTTGATCCGGGGATGGAGCAGACCGATTAAAAATCACTTGGATGGAATCGTCGCTCGGCCGGAAGGATGAAGCGCGATACCCGCCCGTGCTGCTTTCGACTTCCGACCAAATAATTCGACGATCGTCGAATTCCTCTCTCGCTGCGTGTAATTAGTGACCAGGTTATTGAATTTCAGCATTGTCGGTGATACGTTTCATTGAAAGACTCCAACGGGATTTTTTAATTAATTCGGATTTTACCAAGTGCTGGTTCATTGGGAACGACCAACTGTTTTTTGGGGGATAGCGAAGTAGCTAATGAAGAGCGTCAAGGAGATGGATTTGGTAAAAAAATTGCAGAATGCAGAATGCAGCAGGCAAATGCAATTGATCGCGATTTCCAAGCTTACGGAAAGTACAAAATGACAATAATAATAGTAATAAAATTAATAAGAATAGAGTACTGTCTACTTGCTAAAGTAGACCTCATACGAAGATACCCTTCCTGTAGTTAGTATTTATATTTTCTCCTAACAGTTGCTCAAAATAATTTATTACACACGAAAAATTCAGCACCCTTCGTTCGATCAAAGAAAACAAATAAACTCGACAAATTCATTGATTTAAATGAAAGTAAAATTGAGTAAAGGAATGCTTGATCCTCGAATTGGACGAAATGATAATCGCGGAGGAATTGCTTCTGTATCGAGCATTGGACGTCAAAAACGAAATTCCGAGAGTCACAAAGACGCAATACTTTCCACTCGATCGTCCGGTTCTCATTTCGTGCGTTCCTTTCCTCAAGGATCACCGGGTAATCACGCTCGGGGTAAAAGCACCGGAACCCGGAAGTTCCTCGCCGAAGGCTCGTAATTACGTGTCGGAGAACAGCGGCCTCAGTGGAGATAGAACGAAAAAGAAAAAGATGGACATGAAGGATACCGAAGGAAGAGCAGAGAGTGCAGCTAAAACTCGAGCGAAGGTTCCGTCTGATTTATATCGAGCTTTACTACTGGACCCCGGGCCGATCTCGTCTCTCGGTTTTCGAGGGTGTGCGGTGCTCTCGCAGTTTCTGGAATCTGGATCAGGAATTTCTTTGGAATCCTCACGGATTCCCCGCTTGATCGATAACCCTTATTCCGTGTAGAAAATCCTGATTCATATCTTTTAAGGGACGCGCGGCCCCGTCTTTACGCTCCGGCCAGTTTATTAATAAAATTTCTTGTCCCCTCTGTACGACACTAATTGCCACTCCAAAAACTTGTAGGAATTAATCTCTGTGCATTCTAACGCGTTATGTTTACTGTTTTCTTTTCTGTATTGTATCGAACTCGTATTACGAGTCTTGCTATTATATTTACTTTAATTCTTTATCAGAAAAAAGGTACGTGTATCTCGATTACCGAAAGATTCAATTGTTCGAAGAATAATTTGATTAAATTCTCCCCGTGCCGTGTCGCGATATTAAATTGAAAATACGCGGAATAAAATGTACGAAAGAGTGCGGATACGTATTTTACAAAAGCAGAACGGCTCGACGCGCAAATTAATATTGACTTTCACGAATGAAAACCCCCAGTCGGAACGACGTTCCTTCGTTCGCGTGTTTTCGCGAGACGGGGAACTAGTCGCGACGTTTTATTGGCGGAATCAAAACCAATATAATATCGCGAGACCCCCTTACGCTCTACCGAAAAATAGTCCTCCGCGGCGAACATCAAAGACGAACACGCTGGGTAGCGGGAGCGCAGGGTGAAAAGCAACGCAAGGTCGATTTTCTCGGCCTCGATAACACGTAACGCGAACAAATCGCTTTCCGCGTGCCCCGATGAAACCCTTTGCATGCAATGTATCGGGAGGAACGTCTTTATAGAGGCCCCCGAAGACACGTGGCGCGGTATGAGATCGATCGAGAAGGTTTAAAAATTAATTCGAACGCGACACACGCGTCGAGTAACGACAGGGGGCGAAAGAACAATGATTTCAGTTTTTTTTCTTCGATAGGGGACGCGAGGTTTAGCCGCGAGTGCAATAATTAACTGGTACGTTCAGCCGTGCAAAA